CCTTTACCCAATTCTGATTCTCAGTTTGAACTTCACCAGGTCATCTTAACCATGTCTGCATTCCTGATTGCACTGTGTAGCTGCCATGTGATTGGCTAAAGAGATACTTATGTTACTGAGTAGTTGAGCAAGTGAACCTAACGAAGTGACCAGTGATCGAAGTGATATGTACTTCTGTAACAACCAGCCACGTTGATACCAAATACTGATACTAGCTGATGAAATCTACCTTTTGACATGCAGACTTGCGTAACTTTCCATGTTCTCATTCCTCAGTGTTTTTGGGCAAGAGTAGCCTGGGGACCTGAGCAACTGTCATTACTTACAGGTTCTTTAACAGCAAGTGGGAACTGGGTAGAAGGGGGTTCATTTTTTGCTGTTAAAATATAATGATTTGTTTTGTTTCATAGGGGCTCTGTGATTGACATGTGCCAGCTAGTCTTTAAACTAGATGTCTATATACCGAAGGTGTGGCCAGCCCTGTTGTTTGTGTGGTGATTTGTTAACGTAAATGTTTGCTCACTCACATGCCATCTGGACTTGTAACTGTCCTCATTTTGCCTCCTTATGCAAAGCTAACAACTTCACACTGTGTTTACTCACTCCATTTGCAGTTATTACAAGTTATTAGAAAATCTAGATGGCAAGATTAGCATATCCTGTACACACGTATCTCTGGGTTTTGGTAGCTATAATGCTCGGGGTGATCAGGAGAGAGTACAAAAGTGTTGTGTAAAACTATCTTGAACACACCAGAAATGGCTGGATGGTGACTTCATGGCTTTCCAGCCCAGTGAGTCACGTTTCACCCATCACACCCCTGTTTTGCTTTAACCTAATGTTTAAAGAAAATGCTAAAGGGGAACAGAAACTTGCAAGAAATTTTAATCTGGGCTCTGCCTTGTTTCATCCCTGAGGCTGTTGGTCAAATGCAAACTGGCACTGCTCCAGAGTGAAGTCAGAGTTTGTAAAGCTGCAGTTTCTTGGAGGACAGCTCGAAGCAGCTTGGAGTAACTTTAACTGTATTAAAGTCATTGGGAAACAAATCAAGCAAGTTTTGGTCATGACATGAAAAAGGGCATTCACTAGTATCTACCTGCCACTCTAAGGCTTGTATTGTTACGTGCAAGAAAATCAAGACCTCTTGTTTTTCTTGTGTGCACCATATAGTTTGCATAATGCGCACTAATGCTTTTTCAGTCTCTAAAGCCCTAAAAAACCCTCAAACTACTGTAAGAAATAAAACAAAACTTTAATTACCAATTAAAAAAAAAAAAAGAAGCTCAGTGCTGGACGTCTTTTTATATGTTGTAATTTCAATTTTGTAGTTAATTAAAGTGAATAAACACTGTTCTTTAAACTTTAATAAATCTGTGTAGGTTCTCAGTCATCCAGGTCATAGTAATCTAATAGTAGTTTAATAAATTAAGTGTGCATGTGACATTTAGCTCAAGTTCTTCAGTTGATATCTTGCATCTGTCTTCTTATCTCAGTCACAGCCGTGAAGCATAAATGCCAGAAGCGCAAAGCTTAAAAAAGTGACTTAACTTCTTGTTGGACCATGACAGGCCCATGGTTGTCTGGCTTTGTGTGTTGGTGCAGCAAGGCGTGTCAAGGGTATGTGAGGGTGTGTGTGTCTCTGTGTGTGGGTGTGTTGTGGGCTGGCCATTTCAAGGGTAAAATTTGACTTTCCCTTCTGTTCACAGTGAGAATGTGACATACACAAAGTGCAGGTCTTGCCAACTTGTTGTACAAGGGAGGTCATGGCAGAAAGCCCCAACTGGCTGCTGGACGTGCGTGCGTGTGTGTGTGTGTGTGTGGCCAGGCAAAAGGTTTTGTTGGTGCTAGCTGTGTTAGCAGGGCTGGTCACTCTTCATACCCACTCTTAGCCAGCATTATACAGTTCCCACACGTGTTGCAGCCTATTCCAACCCCCATCTTACACACACACACACACACACACACACACACACACACACACACACACACACAAGCTCCGTGCATAACATGCCCACAATCTATAATGCTCACACTAAACACTGCACCATGTGTAAACACAGAGGCCTGTTGACACTAAAATACAGCTTTGCACATTACCCACCCTGAGTCAAGCTGTTTGCTAGGCAGTAAAATATTAGCTTTGGATTGGTGGCTGTCATGAGCTTAGAGTACAGACATTGTTAGGTGTATATCTGTGTGTGTGAAAGATTCACAGTAATCCTAATTATATGAGGTAATGAGTGTACAAGCCAGAGCATTTGTGTTTTTGCATGCGTTTGTGTTCGGTGTGACCTGCCGGCTGTCGTTAAATGGCCACAGATTAGACATATTTATCAAGCCCATTGCTGTACTCTGTAGTTGCGGACCATAATACAGAGCTTCCTAGTTTTGCCTTTTTAAATCTATTTTTATTATAACTTTCCTTTATATAAAAATATGCTCTCTTTTCATTAGAGTGCTTTGAGTGAAGGGTGCCCTGTGTTAACCTGGAGGGTTAAGGATCCAGTAAGGCCCTTTTGTTCTTTAGAGTTGTATACAGTGAACAGGTTGGTTGTCAGTGAACCAAAACATCTTCCTTTTAAAAACAGTTTGTTCTAGTAGAGAGCCGTAAGTCTGGCACCGAGTCAATCAGTGAGGTAATCTTCCAGTTATGCAGGATCTCTGTGAAAGGGGTAACTCTAGACAAGGGTAGCCCCATTAGGGTGAGTGAAGAGTTGACCTGGAGGGGGGCCAGGATGTGTAAAGTGCACAGAGAGGTGAGCCAGCACCTTACTGTAGCCTTGGGCAGCTGTCTGTCAACAGAGCAAATATGTAGTTACGGCAGTCGTGCCTGCTACAGCTACTGCTGTGCAAGTAACACTATTGTCGCAACTGCCTTCATGCACTGGAATACTAGTTAGGACTGGATTTTGTTTTTGTGCAGAGAATAAAAGTAAAAATTTTATCCTCTAATGGATTGTTATCCCAGCCCAGAGTGTACCCTGGGATAGACTGCTGACCTCCTGCAACCCTAAGTTGTATAAGCAATTAAGATGAATGGATGGATGCATGGATAAAGAAGTAAACAGGGTTTGCTGGAACATTTTTCAATGTTTCTTCAACTCATTTGCTTCCTCTCTCGAAACCTGAATAACCTAAATGGTTTATTTCCTGGTTTATTCTTCTTTTCTTTTTTCCCCAATGCATTAAAAATGTATCTGCAGCCTGTGTACCAAAGCCGTTTGCTGCACTGCTGACGAATATTGAGGAAGTATTTACATATTTTAAAACATGATGCGTCAAGTGCATTACTTTACAGGAAATGGTATTGTGATTTGTTTGGATGTGATGCTGAACCCAGTGTTGACTGAGAGAAGTATTTCAGGAAGTTACAGCATTTACGTGGTATTTCATGTTCGTGGGTTACAGTAAGCAGTAAAAGTGATATTCCAGAAGAGTTTTGTGCAGTGAAGTTAATTTTGCTTTTGAAATTGCTACTAAATTGCATTTCAGTAAATTTCATGAAACTCTTTCTCTGTCTCTGTGTGCAAGGAACAATAATATAAATAAAGTTCCCTGATGTGCTTTTTATTTTATGGGGAGGGGTATCTGTGTTTGTGTGGGATCTCCCCCGAGTCCTCCTGATTCCTCCCACAGTCCTAAGATACTCACGTTTGGATAACTGGTGATTCTGAACTGGCTGTAGGTGTGAATGTGGGTGCGATTGGTTGTTTGCCTCTTGTGATGGACTGGCAACCTGTTCAGGGTGTATCACAATGCTTGCTCGTCGTCAGCTGGGATAGGCTCCATCCTGAACTGAATGACGGTTAAGTAAACGAATGGGCGTCGTTCAATGCACGTTAAAGATTTATTCATCATAGTGCAAGTCTGGTTGTGGCCTGTCTTAGTCCACTGCTTTAAAGTGTGCTTTTTGGATTATGGAAGGCATAGACCGAATCCTAACACAGGGGTACTATTTAGAAAGGACTGAGTGTTGTTTAATCTTATTTACGCATAATGCTCCCTCTGCTTTTGTCTTGCATTGAAAAGGTTTTTCATCATTTTATTTTTCCTTGGCACACTCTGACATGGAATAAAAAGTCTAAATTCAATGTCCAAATCTAGATTTAGCTCAGACTTTATTGAATAAACAGTTAGCAGATGGCCACTAAACACTTCCTGTAACTGCTTTTAAGAAGACAAAGCAAAAAAAGTCTTTTATGAAGCAGCTGCCAGAAGCTCTGAGTTTAGACTCTTAAGCTGATAAGTTGACTTGTTGCAAGCTGGTCCGTCACATCTGTACAAGCTGTCAATTCCACCATAGTCACTTTTACTAAATCAAAGTGCATTCACGTGCTGACATCAGAATAAATAACTTTAGAAAATATATCTATACTTTTAATACTTCTGCATTTTCAAACTATGCTTTGAGGCAAATCTTTAAGTTGCATAAGAACCTCACACATCAAAAAAATACTATTGGCGTGTGTGTGTTTGTGTGTTTGTGTGCGTGTGTCCCCAAATAGCACATGTGTTTCTCACATGCCTGATAGCAGTGCCGAATCAGGCTGATGACACGGTGCTAGAGCATGTTTATCAGTATAACACCAGAGTATACAGAGTACACACTGGAGATTAGAACCTGCAGCAGAAGCATTACACCACCCTCCTCTTATCAAGTCCTGCATATGCATTAAAATGTAAAAAAAATAAAAATAATAAGGCACATGTTTCAGAAGAAGTGTTTTGGGGTACGCCTGTTGTTGCACTGTGATTGTTATAGTAAGAAAACAGCTGCAGGGCTCAGGTTTACAATTATTTATTGAACCAATAAAAAGAAGTGATGTTTCGAGCACCACTGGTCTTTATTGGTGATCAGGGACTGTTATACTTCACACGTGGTTTTGGACAGGCGGGACCTCTTTGTTGTTCGGCAGCATTTGTAATTGCGTTGCACTGTATCGGTTGAACAATAGCTGATGTTTTCTTTTCGTTTCTTCTGTTTTTTTTCTCCTGCTCAGAGACGAGGGGCCATCTCCTACGACAGCTCTGACCAGACAGCGCTGTATATTCGTATGCTAGGTAAGTGTTAACCTGCTCTTTCTACATACACACAGTAGAGACACAGTCACACTACTTCGAGACCTCGGAAGGTTTACCTTCTCTGTGATCGTCAAAAATAAAAGCACTGAGATGCGCATTTAAGGGCATGTCCAGAATCCTTTCAATCCCTGGCCTTTTTTAATCTTTTAAGTCACGATAGGGTTCAGGGTGTGTGTGTGTGTGCGTGCGTGCATGCATGTGTATCGGTAGTCTTCAGTCTTAAAAGTTCAATCAGATATGTGATGAGCATACGGTTTTTATTTTAACTGTAAATAAACTAAAGCATCTTTGGCTGAGGTTATTTTTTTGTGTACATATGCGTGCATTCGTGCATGTCCATTCGCACTCAGTGACCCTAAAGAGGATAAGCAGCTTAGAAAATGGATGTGAGGATGAAGGTTCATAGCTCTGCCAGGCAGATGGAGTCAAATGCATCTAGGAAGCAGCCAGTTCAGCTCCGTAATCAATAAGGTTACTGGGGATAATGGTGCGATTAGAGGCTGGTTATACCCCCGAGGTATGTGTACTAAACAAGGATGCTGTTTTGCATGGAACTTTTGGCACCTCATATCATACTTGTTGGCTGGGAGGTAGCAGCAAAGAAGAAGAGTAGAATTGCTTGAAGTGTTATCCTGTCTGTATTCTTCTTGGATATTTTAGATTGCTGCTATGAAATGTAGTGAGCGGGCAGGGAGCTATCAGTATTAGACGCAGTTCAGCGTGAAAAAAAAATGTGAAAAAAACCAAAAACAACATATTATTGTCATACTTTGTTTCTTTCCAGCACGATCATGAGTCGACTGCTGCCTAGTCTAGTCATAATAACAGCATTTCATTGAGCTGAGTGAAGGAGCTTTAGCTTTTTAATCATTTTACTTAGCTAAGTATGATGGCAGTCTCATATGTCACAGGCATAAAGCATCTGTGTGTGTAGATTTTCAGATTAAATTAAGTGTAAGGAGAGGCACGCTAATGCAGACGGGTGCTGGCCTGGGCCTGGGTTCAGTCTGCCAAGTTAATGCTGATGTGCTTTCAAATAGCAGGACTCAGAGCTTTTGCCTCATCAGTTATAATGACATGACCTACATTCACCCCAGAGCTCCAGCACTAATGCACCATAGAGGAGACATGGACCCTTTGACACTCAAAACGCACTAATCACGCAAACTCGCGCAGACAGACGCGCTCTGGGCCCGAGCACGTGTGTTTGCAGCTGCAGATGTGACAGATGTGCATACATATGGGCATATGACGACTGCCTAAAAGTGCATGAATTGTGGTGTTTTTTTGTTTATTTTTGCAGAATTCATATTGTGCAATCGAAACTAAACATTCATGAATAGCTTTTCAAAGTAATGTTTAGCGCCGCTATGCCGTGAATAGTAATTCTTAGTTTTTGGTATTTTGATAGGAACTTGTGTAGTATTCAAACAGCTGTTTGCAAGTAAGTAACAAGGTGGTTGTGGGAACACACTGGTGTGACTGCTTTTTTTTTGTTGTTGTTGTTGTTGATAAACTGATGCACACGTGACACAATTTAAGTGCTATGCTGGAAGCATACCATCTCACCTTTAATCAGTATACTGCAGTATAGAGTCTTGCTGTACATACAGTGTTGCCTGGAACAACACACTAGCATTTGCTGCATCAGTCATAGCACCATCCTGTCACCTCACTGTGCTCTCACTGCTCTCGACTGCAGCCTACAAGCAAGCAAGCAAGCAGGCCGGCCGCCGTCTGTTAGGTCTGAGTTTGGAGCCTGTCTCTGTTTCTCTGCCTGACTACTAAAACCAGTCACAGATCGGCTATAGATCCTTCTCAGTGGCTCGGAGTACTAATAGTAGAGCAGACATGGCATTGCATGCTCAGCTGTTTGACTTGTCTGTCCGTTGAGTTTCCTCTTCTGGAACATGGGAGTGTGTGCTTGTGTGTGACTGTGCCCGCACATGGATAGTCCACACTGGGTCTTGGTCAAATAGTATTTTCCACAATCTCTTGCTTGTTTTAGCTTGCTGGGGAGTACAGAGATGATGGGTTTTACCACAGCGTCCTGTCACACGTCATGATTTAGTTCCAAAGCTTCACATAAGAAGGATTATTTCCTTGTTTAGAAAAGCTGAGACATGATTGGGGAGGGGGTGGGGTAGGTTTTCTGTCAACACTCTGAGGTATAATAAATGGTTTTCTGTAGGTTTTCTAGAAAAAAGCAAATTTGAAAGATTTTGTTGATTATTTTGTTAGGATTCAGTGCTATGAGGCTATGACAGTGAAGTAAAAGTGTTTGACATTAAAGCAATTTAAGCACAAGCTACTAAAAAGGGCAGGTAGCAAGAAACACGGGGAGAAATAACAGTTTATAATAACAGAAATCGCAAAAATAGCAACTAGTAAGATATAAATATTTGCTCTGTCTTTGGATGTTGCCAGAAAACCAGAGTAAGTTTCAGCTTCTTAAAAATCCAAATGAAAGAAGATTTACTACATTGTCATGTGGTAAAGCCCATCTTTGTGTCACTAAAGCAAGATAAACTCCAGGATATAGCGCCAAAAGATTACTAATTGGATGCACTTCTGGACTTCTTTTCACGCTGTATGAATCTTGAGGAAATAAGTGTTGATTTCTTCTAGGAGATGTGAGAGTGAGAAGTCAGGTTGGATTTGAACCGGAACGTAGAAGCTCCCACCCGTACCTGTGCATCGACTTCCGAACGCTTCACAGTGAGTACAGCCCGAGCATCTTGACTAAAAAAACCAGCCTCCCCGGTAGGAGTCACAGACTAGTCCTGTCCTGCGTGACTGAAAGACGCCTGTGTTCTTGTCTCTGAGGTGTGCCTTACTATAAACCTTGTTTGAGGCTTACAGGTGCACGATAAAGCACCACTTTCATTTTTCAATGAAAACGTTTGAGTGTACTTGTTGACATTTTTGACCCAAGATTAATCCTACCTCACGCTGACGTGTTTCTGGATTGCAGCGACAGTTTACTCAGACACAGGGCCTTTTGTGGGGTGTGTGCGCGTGTGAGAGAGAGGGAGGGAGAGAGACCACTGACAAAGCATGTCTGCTGTGTGATCCCAGACGAAAGGCTTATGAGTGGGCGGCTGTGTCAGCAGCAACTGTTTGTGTATTGCTGTGTTGGTGTCAGATCCCCACCAAGCTTGTCCGAGCCAAGTAATTCTCCGGGCCTAACGAGGTTTAGAAATGAACATGCCCCAACGTTGTCGTCTGTTTTAGATGCTGTATCCTTTGTAAAATATCGTGTGCGTCTGTGTGTTTGTGTGCGCAGCACGGCTGGGCTGCGGCTCCACGTCGGCCAGCTATGATCCTGAAAGGCGGGTCCACAGGCTGCTCAGCTTCCAGAGATACCTGCATTCGTCCCGTCTGCTGCGAGGAGTCCCCCAGCAGATACCCCTCCACATCCTCGATGAAGATTACACTGGACAGGCTAGAGTATGGGACTATTTGTAATATTTGGCACCACAATAAAACAGAAGTGCACATTTTCTTTTTATAATTTATTTTTTCCAAACCTCACGTAAAACTCTCTCTTTTCTCTATCGTAGTGCATGCTGGAAAAAGTCGGGAATTGGAATTTTGACATTTTCCTCTTCGATAGGTTGACAAATGGTAGGTAAAATATAATCTGTAGGACTTCTGAGACGTTGTTCTAAATGCCATGATGCCTTAACTGACATCAATCAGCCACAACGTTAAAACCACAGTTCCTACCTTGTGACCCAAAAACAGCCATCAGGGAACGGACACAAGACGTGCAAAGTGAAGATTTTACTCTGTTGTGGACACAGACGGCACAATGTCGCGCGTGCGCTGTTGTTGCAATGTAATGGCCACTCTACATCCACATGGAGCCTCACGCTTGCAGTCTGATTACAAAATTTGCGTGACTTTAGAGGCCAAGAACTAGAGTGAAGGTGGATGACAAAAAGACAGGAGACCGAGCGGGAGGTGGCAGAGCTGAAAATGCTTCTGTTGGGAATGAGGCAGATTTCAGATCAGATTGAGCAGTTTGGATACAAAGTTAGAGAGGGAAGTCTGAGATTGTTTGGACATGCAAATAGAAGGGATGATGGATATACTGAAAAAGGATTTTGTGACAGTCGGACGAAAAAGAAGCAACCTGGCAGGAGGAAAAGACTGAGACCACAGAGGCAGTGAAGGAGGACCTGCAGAGGTTTGGTGTGACACATGAGGATAGATATGGATAGAGTAAGATGGAGGCAGATGATCTTCAGTGGCTATCCTTATAGGGACCAAGTAAAAAGAAGAAAAGGTGTGCGTGTTCCGACTCTGAAACAATGTTTCACGAGTGGCATTTATCAAAGTAACACCCGCATGAATGACAGCACTGAAGGTGTTGTAACAAAATGATCAATATTCACTCCACCTGTCGACGGTTTTAATGTTGTGGCTGATTGCCGTGCACACTGACTGGTGACTCCTGACCTCTGGTTGAGATTTAAAGTGTTGGCGTTGGTGCCATCTATCTGATACCTGGCACAGTTTTAGGATTAGCTCTGCAGCTATGTCACTGTTTTACTTTAAATATACATCAGCTGTTTTATGTCTAAGCAAAGCCCAGGCTTGACAGAAAATGAATATACAGTGCTGTATTATTTAGATTTGTATTAAACTAAACTCAAATTATTTTAAGTGTATTGGTGTGGAGGCCCTATATTTATTTATCTGTGTAATAGGATAGAAGTGCATACTCTTCTGAATTAGCCCCTCCTCCTTTCTGTGTGTACTCCTGTAACCTCTAAAATCCTCAAGAATATTTTTCCATAAGCTGTTTTCACACATGCACTGTAGCCCTGAATTTCTCTAAACCTCACAGACTGGTGCCCTGTCCAGGGTGTACCCCGCCTCTTACTGTATGACAGCTGGGACATACTCCAGCACTCGGCAGTGGTGCGTGGGAGAAATGTCAGTCATTTCTCCATTAGCAGGTCTTTTCAGCTGCATAGTACAGTGTCCATGTGATGTCTGATTGCACCAGTGTGCAAATAGCGCAGCTAATACTCTGGCGTATTGTGCGCTGCCTCCTCCCCTCTGCGTCCAGTAAGATCCCTCGCTCAAACCACCAGGAGTACTTCCTGTAGTGAGAGCATGTCTGAAGCAGACAATTTCCTGCTGTGTATGACATGCGAGAAAGGATAACGGGGGAAAATATTCCAACTCTCTTAAGCTGACGTGTGAAAGGAGCCTCACAGATTGTGCTTTGTATTTTCATCATACTCCTTTTTTTTGGGGGGGGGGGCAGCTGGTCTGTGTGAAAGCCAGACTGCAGCAGTGGAGTTCAGGAAGTCAATGGTAAACAAAAGTAATTCGTTTTTTCTACATTCTCTTATTTTTGAACCACTAAGTGCGACTCTCATAATGAGGATGAAAAGGAATCTTATCATGTATATAATTGCACATCCTGCACTGTATAATTGAGGTAACCTCAATCCAATCATCAAAACAGCTTTAAGACATGTTCTTGACCCGTCTCTGACTTGACCCGAGTTAAACTTGAAAAGTGGTGAGAATCACAACTATTAAAAATTAGACCGAGAAGGAGGAGGTGGTGTAGTGGAGGCAGAATTAGGAAAGATGGATGCATCCATAAAAAAAGACTGGCAATAGAAGTGATTATTGTTGAGTTCAGCAGCGTTCAGTTGCAGCTTTTATAGGTGAACTTAAGGGATGAATGCAGAGTGATCATTCTGATTTGACTTCTTGCTCAGGAAACAGCCTGATCACCCTGACTTTCCACCTGCTGAACCAGTATGGGCTGGTGGAGCTCTTCCAGCTGGACATGGTCAAACTCTGGAGGTTTTTGGTCATGGTTCAGGAGGACTACCACAGCGACAACCCGTACCACAACGCTGTCCATGCTGCAGATGTCACACAGGCCATGTACTGCTACCTGCGAGAGCCCATGGTGAGACAAAACACTTGAGCTCTTTTGGGTTTAAGTAGCTAACTCTCACCCAGTCCTTTGCTAGCCACAACAAGGTCTTCTTAAAAAAAATTCTTGCATAGCCAAGGTTTCTTGCTTCAACAGTATTCAACTCACAGTACAGGCTTTCCTCATCAGCTTCTTTCAGTCTAACCAGTGAATGCTACCATTAAGATGTGCGTTTGATAATGCATCCAAATAAGTGCTCTTACAGACAGATTTTGAATAAAAGTATGCTATTTGCAGAGCTGAGAGTTCTTCGGAGAAGGCATTCTTGTATTTTAAACCCTTCTTGCATTATTTTTTTGTGCAGCTTGCCAAGTCTCTGACCTCCAAAGACATCTTACTGGGACTCTTAGCAGCTGCCACCCATGACCTGGACCATCCTGGGGTCAACCAGCCTTTCCTCATCAAGACTGACCACTATCTTGCCACACTCTATAGAGTAAGGCAACAAAGCAGTCACTCTTTAGCCTGCCTAACTTATTAGAAGACTTCAGTGAAGGATGTTGTACGATGTATTAAATTAACGTGCACACACAATTTCTCATTTGTATACCTAGAATACCTCAGTTCTGGAAAACCACCACTGGAAGTCAGCAGTGGGTCTGCTCAGAGAGACTGGGCTGTTCTCCCATTTGCCTGCTGAGGACAGGTCAGTCTGACACTGAGAAACACAAAGAACTCAAACTGTGCCACTTACAAGGCTGTGCAGAAACGGAGTTCTTTCATAAGACTGCTCTTTGCTTTAAAATGTGTTTTCTTAAACAAACATGCTTTGTAATACCTCAGGCTGAACATGGAGAGGGATTTGGGTTCCTTAATCTTGGCCACGGACATCAGCAGGCAGAATGACTACCTGTCCAGGTTTCGCTTGCACCTGGACCAGGAGAACCTGTGCATGAGCACCGCCAGCCATCGTCATTTCGTCCTGCAGGTCAGTGTTGGTTTAAAAAAAAAGCTCCTGCATCTCAGCAAACAGCAGGTTCATATTTATCTTTGCTTTTCCAATGCAGATGGCCCTGAAGTGTGCAGATATCTGTAACCCCTGCAGACCATGGGAGCTGAGCAAACAGTGGAGTGAGAAAGTGACAGAGGAGTTCTTCCAACAAGGTTATCTGTCCATATTTTTCCCTTATTTGTTTTGCTCTTTCTTCTCCAGATTGGAGGTCCTTTCTTTCTTCTTGTTTATTAAAGTCTTTGTTACACTCTTGCAGGAGACATTGAGAAGAAGCACAAACTTGAAGTCAGCCCACTTTGCGACAGAGAGATGAACACAGTCGGCAACATTCAAATAGGCAAGGATTTTGGCTCTGTTTTTATTCCCCCGTTATCAATAGCTTGCGTGTAATGCAAATACTCGTCCTAATCAGCATCTGCCGCCCTTTCTCCTCCCTCAGGCTTTATGACATATGTGGCTGAGCCGCTGTTTGCAGAGTGGGCCCGTTTCTGTGACACACGTCTGTCCCAGACCATGCTGGGTCACATGGGGCTAAACAAAGCCAGCTGGGGAGGCTTACAGCAGGAGCCGGCTCCGGTCTCCGAGGAGGCAGAGCCCAGCACGGCCTGCGCAGACACAGGAGACGCTGCCACCGCGCCGAGTGACGGCAGCACAGCTACGACCGCAGGAGGAACCAGCTCCAAAGAAATACCTCAGGGAAGCAGAGAATCCTGACACACTCCTTCTGTGCCATTTCACCTCAACCTCGTGACCCCTGGGGGCCTCAGGGCCTCACAATAC